GCATTACCTACTGCAAACAACCAGCAGACCATCATCAGCATGTCAGCAACGCAATTATTTAGATATGTACATAAATTCAAATTAACATGTTCACACTCTCACACATAAATTTGTGTGTGTATGCAGCTTAATTAAGAATCATAAGTGCAGTTGTGGTAAATGCATTAAAGCTCATATCTATTAGTAAGCTGACGTAGAGGGCAACTCAAGGCCACTTGCAGGCCAAAAGCAGGAATGCAGAAAAAATTATGGGTAAAAAAAAGTGCAGCGCAAAAGCTATTGAGGCTTTAAATTGTCCTTGGAAAAAGCGCTTAAGGAAAGGGCTTCATTTTTCACAAGTTAGCAAGTGCTAAGGAGTGTTAGAGAGCTTTAAAAGAACTTTTGAAAGTTTAACTTTTTTTTTTAAAGTGCTGTGAGCTTTAAGCAACATGAAAGTTTTCTCTGCATTTCAGACGCTAGACTTCGCGCTGTGCGTTAACTTTTGTATATATTTCATTCGAATTGGTAGCAGACGCAACTATTTTGCGGAGCTTTAAGCTTTGCAAAGTGTATTTCAGCTATATGATCACAGATGGCGCTTAGTCGAGTACATTGCTAGGGATGGCAGCGAGATGGCTTTTTAATTAAATTAATCTTGTTACGAATGGGAGAGAGAATAACGAATGAGATCGAATTACGAATCGTGGTAACATCGTATTATTTTTGTCCAATTGTCGATTTAATTGTATCGTAATTTTGTGTTTGAATAAACGATTCCTAATCGATTAATTGTAAAATAGTCGTAAAAATAATTTCAAGAAATATGAATTCCGTAGTTGTCTAAAATCCATCCATCGAACACTCTTTCAACTTACTCGACCGAAGGTTCTAAAAAATTAATTTAAAGATTTGTTAGCATTGGCCTCAGTAATGAAGTTATTGAGATCATAAATAATGTGCGCAGCTGATCTTATGGAAACGGGTAGCGAATCGTCACTAGAATCAATAGAAAATGAGTTCGATCATAAAATTCTTGTACTCAAACAAAAGCGAGAAGATAATGATTTGGCTCACCCACAAGATGAAATGACTTTATAAGCTTAAATAGATAAAATTAATTAAAAAGGCATTTTCAATACCCATTCGTCCTTGTAAACCAATTTTTTTTATTTTTTTGAAGTCCACAGAATTTTCTCTTTCATTTGGTACCCATATTGTTATTCTACATTGCACTGAATTTTTTAAATATTTTTTTTTATACCCGAGCGCACTTGTGCACAAGGGTATATTAATTTTGTTCACATAACGGTTGTTTGTAACAGCCAAAACGAATCGAGATAGATATAGACAAATGTATACATAAATGATCAGGATGAAAAAAGAAATCGATTAAGCCATGTCTGTCTGTCCGTCCGTCTGTCCGTCTGTCCGTCTGTCCGTGTACACGATAACTCGAGCAAAAATTGAGATATCTCAACGAAATTTGGTATGTAGGTTTCCCTTAATCCAAGGTAGGTTGGTATTGAAAATGGGCGAAATCGGACTTTAACCACGCCCACTTCCCATATAACGGTAATTTCCAGAAATACGAAAACTGCGATATTTTAGTAACTACTGAAGATTATTCACTCAAAATTGATATTTACAACAATTTTTAGACGAAAAATAAGAATATTATAAATTTTTGGAAAATGGGCGTAGCCACGCCCACTTATGGTTACATGTGTATATCTTGGTAACCGCTGCACCAATTTCTTCCAAACTTGGCACAGTTGTTGGCCCTGGTACAGCATAAAAAATCGCCGAAACTTTTTAAAATCGGACAATAACCACGCCCACATCCCATATAACGGTAATTTAGAGAAATACAAAATCTTCGATAAATCAGTAAATATTGAAGCTAATTTATTCAAAATTGATACTTGCAACAATTCTTTACCAAGAAATACGTTTATGGTAAAATTTTGGAAAATGGGCATGGCACCGCCCACTTATGATCACATATATGTATATCGGTAACCGTTCTACCAATTTGTACCAAACTCGGTGTGGTTATTGTGCTTGCCACATATAAGCAAAACGTTGAAAATTATTGAAATCGGACTAAAATAACGGCCGCTTCTCATATAACGGTAAATTTCAGAAATGCTTGAAACTTCAATATTTCGAAATTGAAGGACGCTAATTTACTCAAAATTGATACACCCCGGCTTACCATCTAGCGGAAGGTTTCGGAAAGGTGAAAAAACATATTTAATACTTGCGCCGGGTATTTAATGTTCGGCTCCGCCCGAACTTAGACTTTCTTACTTGTTTTTTAATAACTTTTTGAAGTAATCATACCTTTGAAATTACTTACAAGGTCCTTAAAAAGAACTTGACGTAAGAGAGAAAACTACAATCGCAGTTTTACTATAGTTTCGTAAGTATATTGATTGCTGCGTTTTCAGAAAGTTTTTTGTTTTTGTCGCACGGTGTAATCGATATAACAAAAATAGATTAGGCATGCCAGAATACTAATCTTTTTACTGTTTGATATTCATCAAGATGATAAAACTCTGTCTAAAAATGGGGAAATTATAAAAAATATTGTAGCTAAAATAGCTAACTCGATTAAAAAAAAAACTAAAAAAGTGGCTAATAGCTAAACGCAAATTAACGCACAAGTAAACTGGCAACACTGGTGCAATCCATCCACTTGCGAACCTATACATTTCAATTTCGTGTGAAAATAAATAATTTGGAATATCCATTTTGAGAAAGTTCGTTGCCTGAAAATGTGCTGATATTTTTTTTTTTGTAAGTTTGAAATTTTCATGAAAATTTGTTGAATATTTATAAATTTTGTATAAAGTTTGAAATTCGGATTTCCTTGATTTTTGTCATAGAATATGCTATATTTTTATAAAATATTAATGAGTATTAAATAAGCAAAAAGAAAACTGTTAATTCTAAGGATGAAAAGAGGTCGGTATTCAAGTGCCCGAAACTATATATATTTTAGAATAATTTAACCAGCTCGGCTGAAAAAAATCATTTTTAAATAAAAAGGTTTCTTATACATATACTAGAATTGATAGGTAAAATGTGGTCACAAACATTGATTAATGGCGAAGAAAGCATTTTTAACTCTGCGTGCTAGGCACCTCTAAACCTTATCAATTTTAACTGGAATGAAAGTCTAAGACAATTAGCTGTTATATATACCCTGCAACTGTCAATGAATAAAAAACGCGTAAAAGAGATAAAGGTGGAAAAAATAGAAAAGCTGTCGAAGGAAATTGGATACTCTATAATATCTTGGAAATGACAAAAGTAGTTATGCAAAATGAATGCAATGGTGCTGCGATAAGTTCGCCTAAGCCTTGTTAGTAAGTGATAAGTCGAAGAGCGGGTAATGGAGAGTTAGAGAAAGTGTGTATAACTGACTATCCACATTTCTACATGACACTGCGAATTATTACTTGTATGAAAGAGTAACTTAAAAATCCGCATTTCCGCATAGTTTTCTTGTCGAACTTATTTATTTTCATTTGAGCTCTGCTACTTTTTCTTTCTCTTGTTCTTTGCTGTTTCCTCTACAATTCTTTTTTGTTATTGCTTGTGGGCAGTGGGAAAATTTATTACAAATGGTCAACTTTGATGAAGGACCATGAATGAAATGTAGTCATATTGGCTAGGTGCTTTTCCTCTTTTCTTCCGCTTATTCTTCTTTGACTTTGTCGAGTTTGGCACAAAAGTTGCAGTTGAGTGAAAGTTGCACCTTAAATTATGTCAGTTAATAAGTTTTTTAGAAAGTTGTTCATTAAGTTCTTTTGAAATGAAGGGGAAAAGCGAATTCTAAGGGCGTTATAAATTGAGCGCACAATATTGGAAAGTTTTGATAACAAATCATCATTTATACAGTGGACTGAATTGCCGACACGGGTTAAAGTTCAAATGAGTAAGGGACCATTATACAGATGTACCTATGTATGTATGTATGTATGCTTATTAAAAATTAAATGTGGAATTTACTAGCTTTTGGTAAGTAATTGAGAGTTGGAAGTTACATAAATGACCGCAAGCAGTAAATTAAAATTTCAAGTGGAAACTAAGACAAATGACTGAAGGAATTATGAAATGTAAGCAAAGGAGCAGCAGAAATGTGAAATTTTATAAAAGTAAATAAAGAAGTCATCGCAGAATTAAAAATTAAAACTGTGATTTGTGATTAAGTGTGAGTTGATATTTGTTGCAGCTCGTTAAAGAAAGCCACGCTAGTTAGACAGATAGACCGAGGCAGTCAACCACCAACGACAGTCAGAGAGAGATACAGCAGCTAGAAAAGCGAGCTATTATACTTCTTCAGGAATGATTTAAAGCTTGATTAGCTGCTTTAAATCAAATAAAAATTTTACACTCTTACGAGATTTTTCAAGCAGAGATACATAGCTGTACACAGGGAAGCATTGGATACACATATACATATAGGGTGATCCATCTATGTACATATATCATTTTTTAATTTTTCAAAGATCACGCATGACTAGTGTCATACTGTCATACTGAGGAGTTATAAGTAAAAATCGTATATCGGAACAATTAGTTGTATGGGAGCTATAGGTGGTAGTGACCCGATCTTTGTAATTTTCACTCTAAGTATTCTGTTGATAACGGGTGGAAATAGTTGGAAATTTCATGTTCCTAGCTGCTTAAATGGAGGGATTATAACGAAAAATGCCATATCTGAACAATCAATTGTATGGGAGCTATATGTTATAGTGGTCCGATTATTTCGGTTCCGACAAATGATTAACACAATATAAAAATAGACCCGCTTACCAAATTTCATACGGATATCTCGAAAACTGAGAGACTAGTTTGCATACAAACCGACGGACAGACGGACATGGCTAAATCGGCTCAGCTCGACGTTTTAATCAACTAAGTATACATTTTAGGGGGTCTATCTCTTCTTATTCTGGTACTTACAAACATCGGACCAAAGTTATAATACAATTTCATGCTCATGAAAGGTATAAAAAAATTTTTTGTTAATTTTGTACTTATTTTTATTCTTTTACATTTTTATTTAATTAATTTATATTCAAAAATGCATATTTGTTTATTTGTTTACATATTCTGCAGTAGGTTGTCCTATATTGGAATTCCGTCAGACATACAATCAAAATGATAATCGAAAAAGAATTTGTGAGATACAGAAAAAAATGCATTCAACGTAATAGTAAATAGAAACTTGTAAAGAAAACAAACTCCCGATTGCGTCTGCATGACTCCTGCATGACTTTACAACTCACTTTAAGTTGGTTTTTCCATAGCTAATTTAAAGTGAGGTATTCATTGAAATCCCACCAAAAAGCTAACAATCTAACAATTGATAATTTTTAAGTGCAGGGCATGTATAAAAAGTCTTCGTAATTTGCTTCAATTATGCACTACTTTCAACAAGAAAACGTTCAATTTAAGCCATTGAAAAAACTAAAATTATCTTAAAAACAAGTTCACGACATAAAAGAAAATAAATGATTTATTGCAAAGCTACACTGATATGGCGTCCAATCACCTCAATCTTTGTAATCTCATTACAACGAAAACGCATAATATTGTCTAATTTTTTAGTATATGTCTGTGAAAATGTTCGCCATATTACTCTAATTTGTCATTTTATTTCATGGATCGTAACATTTTCCGCGAATTTCCAGCTTTATTATTGCCCAAACATTTTCGATCAGGTTCGTATCGGTGCAGACCAATCCAAAGATCGAATGAGGAACGTTGATTTTTCGGGCTGCTGTTCTCTTGAAGAGTGAAATCTGAGCTTTCTGATTCAAACCAATTCCAAATTATTCCCACAGCAAGTTTTTTTTTGAGATTACAACGTTATGGCTGGCAAGTCGTCCACATTTTATGCACAAAATTGTAATGGTTCCAGTACTGGGTAATCGTTTCGACTTTCCGATGTATTTTGCAGCAAAAGGTCTTCCTTTGCTTTTCGGCGACTTAAAAAAAACCATACCATATTCTTAGTTTTAAATTTTACAGAGACACTTAATCCAAAAGCAACTTCTTATCAAACTAATAACAATGTTAATGATAATAACTTTTCTCTGTGCTCGAAGTATGAGCGCTCTTTCAGCAACTCAATTAACTTGTTCGCGATCTACTAGGGCTTAGTCGAATTTTCTTTTCTACCTGCATTAATAAAAACTGATATGCAGGGGTATGTATGTAGTATATGTAAAACAAATGGTAAAGAAAGTAGAGTAGAAGAAAATTAAAAAAAAATGGAGAAAAGAAAAAATATATATAAGCGTTTACAAGCTGTAAATCTGTTGTAAATTGCTTGAGTTTATTTCACATTTTCTTTTTTTGTTTATTTTTTTTACTTAAACGGGGTTGGTCTGCTGGAGTTAATTGTATGAGCCTTTCCATGGCATAGCCTCTGGTGTTCACACCACCAAGCTTATCTGTTGGACAAAAAGTTATGTCTGGCTAGCGTGTACAATTAAGTGGCCAATGATTTATGTTGTCTATAGTGCTACGCTGCCAACAGCATTTGCGTATGTATATACATACAAATGTATGCATATATGTTGGCATTTGCATGTTGTTAGAGGCAGCAGAAATTAATAGTGGTTTGTGCGTAAAGAGAAAAGCAAAAGTTAGTTTTTAGTTGGCTTTTGGGCGCTTAGTTGGGGAAGAAAGCGAAGCTCAAGAGGCTGAGTGTAAGCTTAGTTTTTTTTTGTACTTTTCGCCCCTCCTCAGCTTAATTGTGTATTTTGCAAGCATACAAATGCATGTGCCGAGTTATTCCCTATGTTTTTATTTGCCGAATATTGCCTAGCACTATTCCTTTTACGTATATACATTTTTTTCTAACTTGTCTTACTATTTACTATTGATTTGTCTAGATCAGACTTGGGCGGCGCCTGCCCGGCTGACATATTCGCGTATACATACACGCTCTGCTTTAGAAGGCAGGGAAAGCTTCATTCAACCGCACGACTTGCTAGCACGCACACAGTGACATCAATTTCTCGCACACTACAAAAATTCTCCGTCGAAGCTGCCCACCTCTGGTCTAGATATTGGCTTCTTTATTAACACTCAGTCAAAAAGATTTTATCTATATTTCTTCGTTGCTATAAAAACACAATCAATCGCTACAAAACACCCCCTATTCGATAATATAGCGTGCTAAGAGCCCATAAGTATGCAACAAAGCGAAGATGAGGAGACTTACGTATTGAACACATTTACCATTTATTTATGTGAATAAAATTGTGCAAAAATATTACTAAGCACGCAGCTGCCTCCATCAGCAATACTTTAACGCAAGGAAAAAAAAACTTGCTAGTTTTTCAGCCTAAAAGTAGGCAAATCTTACACACGTTTCATGCATGAATATAAGCACGAAAAAAAACGAAACCCGCCACTTAATCAGCACCGAAAATCACTTTAATTAAATATTTACGCATTGTTAAGCAAGTGTGCTGTGCCATGCGTGCGCCTAAGAGCGCCTCTATGTAGACAACATAAGAGGGCAGTTTGTATAAAAGCCCACCACATACATATACATATGTATTAAATAGATTTCCATAGTATTGCACTTGTTTGCGCCTAACATAATTATTTCTTACTTTGCTCATTTCTACATATTTCCCTTTATCCTCGCTCGCTGCGCGTGTCATTTGTCCTTTCACTTACACACTTAATGGCAATAAGAAGCGAGTGACAGGTTAGCTGTAATTTCTTTTTTTTTTTTGCCTAGCAAAGTGACACATTATAAATTGTTGTAGAGAAAGACCACCCGTCGTTGTTTTGCCTCTTTCTTGCCGTTGCACGCCATTTTGCCACTTTAAAGTGGTTTACTGTCTGCTGACAGCGGCTGCGCTCGGTGAATGTTCTTAAATGACAGGTTGCCTCTGCGTCGGTTACTTACTTTGGCGCAATTTATGCTTGCTGTCCTTTCCACAAATACTTCTTTTCTTTTCGTTTTGAATTTTTCATAAAATTTGTGTATTTTCTCGTCCACGCCTACTCGCTTATTTACTTCGTTTACGTGGCTGCTGCTACTTTGCCTTGCCCTTCTTTGCCGCCCTGTTTGACTTTTAATTATAAATTCCTACAAATTTGTTTCTTCGTCGGCAAGTCGACATAATTTTTCTTGTCGCTTTAAATTTCTTTTGCTGTTTATTTATTTACAACTTTTTTCTTGCTGTACCCAACCTTTCATCTGAGCTCCGTCGTTGCCTGCTTACTTAACGGCGCAGCGGCTAGGTTCGAGTTTCACGCGTTTTACTCGTTAATATGCACTCTGTCTTGCTACTCACTTTTATTTGTTGTCTGTTATTGCGCAAATTGCAGGCAATGGTGGGAGTCCTTAAAAAAAAAAAATGTGCAACTTCAGGTAGTGCTTTAAATTACTTTACCAAGTCTGACCCTGTCCACTGTTCTGCATACTTCTTTTAGCTACTTTCCAACTGCGCAAACAAGCGAGTTTTCTACCCCCGTTCCAACTCTTTTAGATGCCTTCTTCTACCTTCATTCTTCTTCTTGCTCTCATTCGGCATCATCCTCGCACATTTTTTTTTTTGTTCATCACCTACGCGCTTCACCTACGCTTCCCTCACCTCATCTGTCCAACTACTGATCTTTTTATTGCTTTATTAGTCTTGTCAGGCCATCAGCAGAAAAAAATAAAAATAAAAATATATCATCCACTCAGCCAAACTGGCTTCCTCTTTTCTTTCTATTCATAATTTATATGCGTTTTCAGCCGTTTTTTTCTGTTTACCATCTCATTCATTGTCGTAGTGTGTACCTTGGCGCGTTCTCTTATTTATTGTCATTTAAATTTTTGTAGGTATTATTAACCTTGCCTTCTGGCGAGCTAAAGAAAAAAATGTTTAATGCGTGGGCGGGAAATTTAAATCCTTTTTACAGTAATTTTGCTGCTTTTTATTTTACTTCTCATTTATTCATGTTGTTTGTTTTATTTTTAATTTTTTTTTTGTGTGTGTATTGCTTGTTTGTTATTTTTACATTGTTGAAAGTACTAATTGACGTGGCAATATGAGATAGCCAGCGAACGAGTTCTTTGCAAATAAAATGAGTTGTTTGTATGGCAACGGCTACCAAGGATACTTGAAGCGTTACTGATTATATGAGTTTAATGCAAGAACTCCTGGACAAGAAAAATAATGAGGTTGAGCAATTTTTCAGTGTAAAATTTAAATTTGTATTCGAAAGGTTTGGTTGAAGTAGCGAGAAAAATCGGAATTACTCTTCTCCTTTTGCATTTACCTAATGCCTTTGTCTTTTTGTTAATAGCGATTTCCTAAAAAAAATTAGATAAACAAATCAAAGTGGAAATGACCTTTTATTTGCAATAAATAACGCCGTTTTTCTTCTGAAAAAAATATATATCTACATATATATGTGTATGTAAAAATGGATGTTGGTTTCTTCAGAAGATTCATAGCTGTATTTTGAGAAGCCGTATTAAATTAAGTTATATAAAGTATGTATTTAAATATGGATATCAAACGGTTCGCCTAGGTGGAGAGAAGTTCTGTAGCTATGTATATTTTGAAGAAGGTTGCCACCTGTTTTAAAAGTCGAACTTATTTAAATTTTACACAAGTTATATGATATACTAAATTATGGGTGCTAAACGAAAGAAATCTTTAGTTTGAAAATTTAGAATATTTTGAAAATGGTTTTAGGGGGTTGCCACCTGTGTTAAAAAAGTTAAATTGAAATTAATTAGGAAGTTAAAGAATTTATTCCAATATGGTTATCAAGCGAAATGATATTGAAAAGGCTTTATTTCAATACTACATGCAGGAGGGTTGCCACCTGTTAAAAAGTCAAAGTCAACTCGAATTAGGAGACCTAGGTAATCTAACTTTCTATCACAATATCGGTGTCAGATGAAAGAGGTTTCTGAAGATTTTAGTTGAGACAAGGGGCACACAGTGGAACAAACGCGAATTTTAGTATTATAAAAAGGTCAATAGAATATAATTTTTGATGCATTTTAAATTAAAATATACCGGCAGGTTCTGCAATCAACTTCCCAGTAAATTTGAATCAAGTTCGCTATGAGTTCTAATTGCCAGGGGTTGAAATTCACTCGGAAGTGAACTCCAGAACCTGCACGATAATTAAATTTGTAAGAGATTTACAGCAAATTTCACGAAAATAATTTAAGTGAAAAATGATTTTAGTTTTTTGAATTTTTTATGGATGTTGACAGAAAATTAAAAATCATTTTCCATTTAAAGTGCTGGTGAAAGCGGCCGTTAAAGTGCTAGTTTTTAAAATGTTATTGGTTTATGGTAAGTTTTTAGTGCAAAATGCAGAGAGCATAAATTTTGAAGGAAATTGTTTTTCTCATATTCCTGTTAATGAATGAGAAATAATAAAAAACTAGTTTAAAACAAAAATAAGGTTCCCTTGAACCGAAAAAATTGCACAAGAAAAATTTGAAATGCTGTAAAAAATTTCATTTAAAATTTTAATTTTTGTTTTGGAATTTAAAAAAAATTTAGATATAATCTACAAAATTTTAAGTGTTTGAAAGTGTTTAAGTGTTAAAAAGTGTTTTAAAGACCCAGGACGGTCACACGACTTATTTTAGTCCGGAATGAAGCTTAACTTTTAACGTGCTGCCGATACTAATTATGCCGGCAAAAAGGTAACTCACCCAGAAGAAATATGCCGAGGTATGCTTATATTTTATTGAGACGGCAGTTTAAATTAAGAAAACTTGATTCCTAAAAACAATGATTTGTATGCCTTAAATTCTTTGCTAAGAAAAAAAATAAAATAATCCTACAAATATCCAACATTTACAATTTTATTTCCTTTCCTTCTTCAAGCATACAATTTACTAAAATAATATTTTCTTGCAATTTTTATGATATTGCAATGAATTGAATTTGATTGCAAATGCACAAAGAAAGTGGAAACGCAAAATAAAAAAAAAATGCCAACGAAGGAGGTTAACCGCAAAGCCGCATGTTTGTGGCTGCATCTAAAACCGATTTGCATGGCAGGCTAACCAAAAAAAAAAAAGGAGGAAAAAACCGAAATAAAAAATTGCATTTAAAGTGAAGAATGAATGTAGAGCAGTAAGTGAAGAAACAGACACAACAAAGTTCGAAGTGAAGTCAAAAAGTGCGAAAAGTCATAAAGCAACACGGCAGATTTAAAGGAAAAAATGGACGTGGCAAGGAGTGCAGAGAACGAAAAAAAAAGTGGAAGGATGCAAAGATGCGCTGAGCAAAAGTGATTGCGGCAAAAGAAACGGTTTTAGCCACAGCTCAGTTGTAAATAAAGTGAATGCCGCTTTCTGAATTTATATGTATGTATGTTAAGTGCTGTGTTGTTTGTGAGCAGAGAAATAGACATAAATTTGCCTGGCAACTTTGCTTACTCGAACTAGGCTGGCAACAATTTGCAATTTCATTTGTTTGAATGCGGCTTGTAAAAATGTTACGAATTGTTTTATATGTATATGTATGTACGTACTATACAAACTATATTTTTTATTTGATCTGCCCATGTTGGCTTTTATTGCGTTTTTCATAGCGCTCAAATGCTTCGGCTTCTTAGAACGAGATTTTCATTGTCGGCTTCGAGTGTGGAAATCGATATTTAGAAATCGGTTTAGCCGTTGAAAGATGCCCATGCTGCCTTTTGGGTGGGTGTTAAATATTCCGTAAAATTTTTATTTTTGAAGTTATAGCAATTAAGTTTTTTCGAAATTGTTTAGATTTTTTTTTTTATTTTTTCGCGATTGGTAATATCGATTCTGTTCATTTTTAAACAGTTTAGAATAATGATGTTTTCCTGGCATTTTTATTTTTATTTGGTCAAAAACAATTTTTTTTTTTATAAAAGTTATCAAAATTTCTTTTAAAAATGACTGACATCTCAATGAATTTAAAACCGCGTTTTGGGCTAATATGCTTGGACGTTCTATTAACAATTATTTGCAAAAAAAAAAAAATTGCCGGAATGTACTGAGACCAAAGTTATTCACGCTTTTCTCTTGAGGCCCAATGTATTTTTCTTTAATCGTTTTGAAGCATAAACATATAATTGCAAAATAAAAAGTTCGATCTTCGAAAATATGGCGGCCCACTTCACAAATTTTTACTCATTGTAAATATTTAAAAAAAAAAAATCAACACGCCAACACTTGTTTTAGAGACTGTATATCGAGGGCTTACATTTCATACTACCCATCTGCAATTTTCACAAAAACTACTCTCTGATGCTAGAACCCATCTGGAACTGAACCGTCATAATTAATGTTACATTTATTTTTGCAATCCAATAACAAATTCTTTTAAAAAGCGATATGCAAAACAAACATTAACATCATCGATGACAGTTAAGTCTTAGCTGGATTTTTATAGCAGCATTTAATTTTTCTGAAAATTGAATATTAGCCCTCTATATATCGTCGTGGAATCCCACAATTTTTCCTAATGACAACAACATTTTTTACAACAGCTTTTTTGCTCTCCTGAAAAGCATACATTTTCACATTCGATGGTTTGAACTCGCTCATTTAGTAAATTAAATTAGTTAGATATTCGTAGTGTGCTACAAAGGCATCCGTTCGGAAACGCCAATATTTTGCATACATACTTTTGTGATACACTATGTAGGTATATGTGAGTACCTCCTTCCTCAGCGAAATTTTATTTTGATAAATTTACCTGTAAGTAGAAGAAAAGAAGAAATAATTAGAGCTTAAAATCAATTGCGTTTTAAAGAAAATGTGAATATAATTTTAGAATATTTTTAATATTTCATTCAGCAAGGTTCAGTAATCGCAGGCAGCTTTTGTCCAGCAAAAACTTATATTCAAAAATTTAGTGTAATCATAGATATTAAAATTTTATGAGAGTCTCAGGTTAGATAAGATAGGCTTTAACAGCATTCTGGTAATATTAAGAGGTTTTTGGGAAAACCTACATAGGATCTTTTGCCTTATCCCATTATCAGCTATGAGTCTGAGTTGCGGTGGAGTGTGGGGGGGGTATCTGATTGCCAGGCTTCAAAAAACGATCATCGTGTGCTGCACGGCCCGTGGTTCCTAAAATTTGGTGCACAACGCCCCTGTCTGTGAACGGAACCTTTCCAGTCGGTGCCTGGGGCTGGTCTGTATGTGCGTTAAACCTACAGTCGCATGTCTTTATTCGCAAGGAGGACCTCCAAAGCAACTTGAAGCATATAAAGAAAAAAGCTGAAGGTTGGAACAATGTGGAATCCGTGAATAGGCTGAATGTAGACAATAACATTCGCACATTCGGCACATTCACTCATGCAAGTCTGGTAATGAAAACATTTGGCTAGAGAGGGCTCAGGCCAAGTATTCCTTCATTGCCATAATTGCTGGAGCACACGGCGGCTAATATTGTCCGCAATCTTATATTAGTTTAATGGGTATTCCATTTCATTGGGTAGATGGGCCTGCAGACAACTTCTGCGACTGCTAAGTGGCACGAATACCCGACTGTGATCGGCATCCGTGAAAACTATATGCCTTTGTTCTTCTTTTGAAGAGGATAATTAAATAGTCTATTTGTGTATTTGTACTTCTGCTCCATCATCGAAGATTTACTGCTGATGGTTTACCCGGCGATGTGCTGAGAGATGAGCAGCAGAGCTCTCTTATACATGCCCACATTTTTATTTTTGACTGGAATAGCAGAAAGTATCTTCGGCCAGAAGAGGGGTCGTGAATGCCGAATAATTATGAAAAAACCTTCGAAATATGTCTTAAACAAAATTTTAACAAGTTTCCAGAAAATCTTGAAAAGTTTCCAAAATTAAGCAAATTCAGAACAATCGCGAATGAATAAGAAAACACCAAATCCAAAAAAAAAGTGTGCCAATGATTACAGAGAAATGCTGCGAAATTACAAAAAAAATTTTACTAAATGTGCATATATAAAAAGCGTTGCGACGCACACACTGATCGTATAAATTTGAATTCGTTTTATAATAAATGTGAAATTGTAATTTGTAGACTTTAATACGATATTTTATAAACCTTGCAACAATATAGCCAAGCGCGCGAGCGGAAGTACAAAAAATTCAATGCAACAGTACTTTGAAACAACAGTCCCTGGTATGCCTGGGCGTATGAGTAACTACATACACATGGTTCAATTGGCCGTATACATAAAAATTAAGCAACTGCTTTTCCTTAAAGTTTAAAAATTTCTATTTTAATAAATCGAGCTCAGAACATGAACTTCGTATTTACTTGTCATACTGTGAAGTATTTTGTATTATGTATATTTTTTACTTTGTTTAGGATTTTTAAAAACATCCGAGAAGAATTTGCAGCATGAATGTCAAAATAATAAGAATTTTAAACATACTTTTTTAGAATATTGTATGTAGTTTTAATTTAAGAGCATTTTTGAGAGCATTCTAAGAAAATTGTATTAGAACCATTATATTTTAATGCATTGATTCGAATGCTTTTTTGAACACTTTACGAGCTTCTTTCCACAAAACATTAAATATTTTAGCTCATTTATGCGTCGTATATCATCTTAATGTTAGTTTTATGAGTTTTTACAGCGCTGAATCTTTCAGCAAAGCCCAAGCAGCAATTCAACATGCTTTGATGCGCAATGTTTAACGCATACAAACACATACACTGGCGGAACAAAGTATTGGCACAGACAATTTTTCACAATATATGCAACAATTTCCATTCTAATATTTTTCCGCTAATTTCGTATTAAAATATGGTTTATTTTACAACAAAAAGCATAAAAATATAATTCCTAAACTTTGTACAAAACAAATTTTCATGAAAATTTTCAACTTTTTAATCAGATATTTAGAATTTTTTTGAGTATGCAGATTTGTAGCCCAATCAATTTTATTATTACAAGGTACAAGTTTTAAGTAGCTAGGAATTACTGTTGATTTTTGGCAACTTTTTTCCACGCAGGCTCTTCCATACAAAAATTTTTTTTCGAAAATACTTAATTTGGAAAAAATGTAAAACACCTTCAACAAAAAAAAAAAATCTCAAAAATTAACGCGATTTTTGACTAACTCCGAACTTGCATTTTTTTTTTTTGCTAGAATTTAATGGGCTGAAAAAATGGCATACTCAAAAAAATCTGATTAAAAAGTTGAAATTTTTTATGAAAATTTGCTCTATTTTGTAAATTTTTATGTAAATTGGCGGAAAAATATTATAATAAAAATTGTTGCATATATTGTGAAAAATTTTGCTGTCAATACTTTGTTCCGGC